CTATTAAATTTAGCATTTGCCTGTAAGACACAGACCAAGCAGATAATATTAATCAAGTAGACAACTTTTCAGTGATCAATGAGCTACAAAAAGAACAAGACAGAACAGTGTATGTCACATTTAAAAGAAAATTAGAAAAAAAAGAAGAATCAAGCAAATAAATTATTAGCCAAAGTACAGGCAGCAGTATTCAAACTGCACAGAAGTGCTCCCAAAATTAGATTAGCAAAGCACAAGACGATTCTACACTATTGAACTATCAGCAGCAGAAAGAAGTGAGCTTTCTCATATCACCTTCATTCTAAATTCTGCAAAAAATTTAAAAGGTCTAAATACAGACCATGACTAAATCAAAGCTTTATTCTGCTATATTTTCTTCCTAATTCCTCAACCAGTTTTTAAAAATAACATCTTTTCCTTGTTCAAAATCTGGACACACATAGAAATTAATTTTTTTTCTTTTAAGCAACAATCAAATAACTATTTAGATACAATTAAAATTAAAAACCAGTATTGTAGCCAAATTATAGTTTTGGGAATATCAAAACAGGTTCTTGTTCAGGAAAGCTCATTCAAATCAAAAGCTGTGTCATTAAAAAGGCCCCATTACAACAGAATTTTACACATGGGCTGAGGCACGAGAAGACCTATTCATGCATTATTTCTACAGATAAACACAGACAGAGCAAAGTTCATACCACTTCCAACAACAAGCTCCAAATGAGAAGAAAAGCTTCCATCATGCTAAACTTATTTCCAATTGTACACATCTGGACCTGAACATCTCAAGGAGTAAAGTAAAACTTGAATTAAGGAGTGAGCAAGTGTCACAGTTTAAACCAAGGTTTGGTCTAGGCTATTGTTACTAAAAGGCTAAATTGCTATATTAAGATATTGCTTGAAGTCTGCAAAACTGGAAGGTTTTACCCATCATGTCATTGAGTCAGAAAAGTATCTCATTAATACCTCCAGAAAGGAGGTCCTCTTGCTGCTCCAGACTAATTTCCAATAGTTTTGAAGACCTACTTCCGCCACTGCCCTCTTTCAAACCATGGTTCTGTGCTTTATCAGGCAGGCTGCACAAGCAGGTCACCTCTTTCTCTTGCAAATGGAAACAGACAGTGGCCACTGGCCCTTCAGGCTGTTTTTCATAACCTCTCCATTTCAGCTGTGCTGCAGCAGCTTCACCCTACTGCTGCTATAAAACTGTCTGACTACAGGTCACAGGGAGCCTTGACAAACAAAAATCATGGGAAAATAAATATCACCATAAGAATTAGTTAGGTTTCCCTCAGGTCCCAGCCCATTCTTGTGTCTGTCACAATTTCATCTATTTTGCAGTTGCAAAGTCTCTCAGATGAGGAGGACAATGCACTGAATCTTAACCTTTGGGCTGCAAACCTAGCCTTGAGCAACTTGGTGACCTACATGGCAGCTGCACAAGTCGATAACTAGTTGGCTGGAGTCTAAAAATGCACTATTCACTTCTGATTCTCCCTACACTGCACCGTATGCCGTCACTAGACTAATTGCTAAAAAAATGTAATTTCCAAAAGCAGACTTCATTAGCTTAGTGACTTGATGAAACACTACTTTGAGACAACTTAAATAATAAAAAGAAATATGTATTTTCTTCTCCTACCTAAACACTGAAATTTACAGAAGGAAAAAAATACACACACATGCATATGTAGTATATATGCATATACTTTAAGTATATCTGCTTCTGCTTATTTTTCCTAAAACTCCCACTGTTTTAGATGAGTAACACAATTCTGGTTGCATATTTTTTAGGGCCAAATATCTACAATGCATCTGAAAATTAGAATACAACTCTGCCCAGAAGTTGTACCAGGTTCCTGCAATACTAAGCTATGTATACAAGCCAACTGCTGGAAAGATATACTTGAAAAAGTAATGTTTGGTAAAACTTGGTTTGCTAAACTGTATCAAATCATATCTACACACCTTACAGTCCAGACCAGTTACACAGCTCCCTTCCCTTTTCCCTGAAAATGCACAGCAAGGATTTCAGTTGTCACATTCCTTACTGTATCCTGTGTCCCCAGGAGACTCTGATGGCATTTCTCAGTGTTGTAGAATTAGGATTTCTTATCCTCTTAATGACCAAAACACAGCTGTCCAACATGTTCCAGCCAGCACAACCCTGGCATCTCTACTGTTAACCCAGCAGCACATATTTTGTCCTAGTGAATATGCATCAATATGCATATATAGATCCAAAAATAGGCAAATGGGAGTTTCCTTCATTAAAAAAAAAAAAAATAGTATTGCTAAAGCTCGGAGCAAGTTTTGTCCACATTAGGAAGTTCAAATACAGTCTGACAAAGAGATTAAAGACAAAAAGTTGAGTGGTTTGGGATTCATTAATTCATTCTAATTTCTAAAAAGCTATGCACACACAGGAGGATAAAGCAATAACCTGAGCTATTCACACATTTTAAATGTTTTTGTCAGCATGCAGACTCAGGAAAACAAGTTCTAAATGAGATTATAACAGATCTTCAGAATTATCCTTAGAATTCTAATATTTAAAATATTTTCAACAGTGAATTTTCTGCCTGCAGAATGAGCCACAACAATGCAATACCATACAACTGGTTCTGAGCTCATTGCTTCACCTTGCCTAATATAACACTTAAAGTGTTAAAGTAACTCATTTTTCCTACCCTGTAGGCATTGAAGGGAATACTCTGCACATGTAAGTCTGTTGAATACTTCAAACCCAAAGAGCTGTCATAACAGTCTCAGAATCTGACCTTAAATTTATGATTGTTTAAAAAGCCTAATTTTTAAAGTGCCAAATAAGTTATCGAAAGCTTGCATTAAACTTCAAGAAAAGACTCTGAAGGCCATGCTGCTTCTTACTCAATAGATCTTATAACCATGCTCTTCATTAATAAGAGCACTAGAATGATACATATACAAAATGTTTTCAGTAATTTCCTTTACTTCCAGGTTACATGTTGTTTGAGAGTAGCTAGTATGCAACCATGGACTGGGAGAGGAGTGTTTGTAGAGCAGCCCTGCAAAAGGGATCTGGGGGTGCTGAGCCAGCAGTGTGTGCCCGGGCAGCCAGGAGGGCAAACCCCATCCCGGGAGCATCAGACACAGCATCACCAGCTGGGATTGGGATCATCCTGCTGGATTCAGCCCTGCTGCAGCCTCTCCCTGAGTCCTGTGTGCAGTGCTGGGCCCCACAGTCTGAGAAGGGTGGGAAGGTCCTGGAATGGTCCAGAGGAGCACACCAGAGCTGGTGGAAGGGCTGGAAGGCACATCCTGTGAGCAGAGGCTGAGGGCTCTGGGTTTGTCTGGTTTGGAGAGAAGGAGGCTCAGGAGTCACCTCATTGCTCTGTACAGCTCCCTGAGGAGGAGAGAGGGAGCTCTCTACCTAGAGAGGGAGTGCTGGTCTGTTCCTGGCATCCAGCAACACGGAATGGGAATGGCTCAAGGCTGCATCAGGAAAGGTTCAGACTGGACATCAGGAAACGTTCCTTTATCAAGAGGATGGTCAAACACTAGAACAGGCTTCATGGAATTGATGCCTCAAACCTGCCCGTGCCTTAAAAAGAGATACTTGGGCAATGCTCTCAGTAACAGGCTTTATGTTCTGGTCAGCCCTGGAGCAGTCAGGCAGTTGGACTAGGTGATTGTTTTAGGTCCTTTTAAACTGGAACCATCTTTCTGTATTCTGGTGTTAAATAGTTCTGTTGGAACTAAAAAAAAACCATCTCTTAGTCCCAGAAAAAATGGAACTTTCATTTCATGGCACTTGGAGATTTTCAGCCGTAATGGTTTTAGCATAAGATTACCAACTCAATTTAAAACTATAGTTCTTTCTGTCAGAGAGACAGAAGTATCAACTGTGAGTGACAAACAACTTCCTAAAAGACTCACATCTTCTCATCTGGATGCCAAGTTCATCTTTGTTATTCTGTGAACACTATGGAAATTTCAGAAGGTAATTTGATTTTAATGCTTGCAGTTAAATCTCTAAGAATCTGTAAGTCTTTCATAGTGTAACCAGAGTTACAGTTCCTGTTAGAACACCTGATATACCCCTGCTTTCACACACTACAAACATTGCCGTTCCACCACAAAATCATAGACTCCTCAGTGTTTGTATCTTTATCCTTATTACTTGAATGAATAAAAAGAGGGAGTAAGTAATTAGGAAGAGGGACTACGGCGAAGTTGGTTTTTGTTGGTTTTGGTTTGTTGGTTTGTTTTGGTTTTTTTTTCCCCCAACCGCACAGCAACTACTATCACTGAAAAGCCTGCTCTAAGTTATCTTTTGTCTTATATGAAGAGGAAGAGGGGCAGAGCTTCATTCTGAACTCTGCCCGCTATCTCGGTAACGGCGGTTCCCGACACCGCATGCCGCGGGCCTTGTTTCCAAGGCAGGGTTTCCCGGTATCGGAGAGCGAGTATCCCGCACATCGGCTCCGCAGCCTGCCGTGCCGGCCGGGGCGCCTCCGGGACGGGGAAGTCGCCGCCGGGATTTCCCTCCTCGCCCGGGCCATCGCAGCCCAGAGCGCTCCTCTCGCCAACGGGGACGCTGTGCCGGGAGTGCCGGAGCCCCACGGATCCCGCGGCCCCGGCAGCGGCCGGGCGGGCTCCGCGCCGTGCCCTGCAGCGCCGCGGCGCAGCGCCGGGAGGCGGCGGAGCCGCCGCGGCTGCCGCGCCGCAGGTGCGCGGAGCCCCCGCCGAGAACGGGGAGCGGAGCTCCCGCCGCAGCCGCGCCGAGCCGAGCCGCGCCGAGCCGAGCCGAGCCGAGCCGAGCCGAGCCGAGCCG